AGAGAGAGAGAGAGAGAGAGAGAGAGAGAGAGAGAGAGAGAGAGAGAGAGAGAGAGAGTTCAAAAGCCAGGACCAGAAAAGTCCCTGTGAAAAGAGCACTGCTGAAATCTTAATAAAATGAGCTGCAGAAATGCTTCATTATCCTGACTAAGATGGGCACCAACAAGCCTGTCTGACCCTTTGGCCTCCACTCCAGTATCCTTTCATGAACATGTCTTACTGAAACACCAAATATTGTATTCATAGAAGTCACTTTAGATTCCTCACAAGGGCGGTTAGCTCGTCCACTGATTTCATGTTTCATGACTTCTCTGCTCCTCTTCATGACTCTGTTCCCAGTCTATATCCAACCCCTTCAGTCACAATCCTCTGATTTTTTTTTTCTTAAATTGAGGTATTATCTAATATTAGTTTTGGCACATATTGAATTTCAGATATCAGGATTGTAACCAATAGAAAGTGAATCATGCATCTCTAGTTTTATCTTGGGAAAACATCCACAGACGTTGTATATCCGGCGAAGAGTTTGTAACAAACAAACAAAGTGTTTGTTGCCAAAATCAGCTTCTTAAAGCAAGCTACTATAAAAATAGAGGGTCAGCCAAGGAGGACTCACTTAACATTTTTGATTTTGAGTCTGTGAAATAAAGTCAACAGATTAGCCAGTGTGTGTGTTGTGTGTTTTGCATTGTATTATCTCACTGACAATAAGTCCACATCCCAATGTCTGAACTTATCACTTGCTTTTTTAAAAACGATAAGGAAGGAGTGAAAAAAACGAGATGGATGACACAGAGTGTCTGAGCCTGACATGATTAGATGTCTGCAGACATCTGGGAGATTAACTCTTTGTTAGCGTGCTGTTATGAAATATTTTATGCTATATGTGTACTTTTTACTTTAATTTTAATTTGTGCTATTTAAGCAATTTCCATCATCTTACATGTTTGGTGCGTCTGCATGTGGAGATTTATGTTTGATTCCATGCATGAATAAGGATTTTCGTATTTCAAACAAAGGATATGCCTGTTTACATGTTTGTTTACATGCACACGTATTTGAATTGGCTTTGCTCTCAGCACAAGGTCTTTGTAGGAATGGATGTYGAAGTGTTTGTGTATTTGACTGAGAGAGCCAGGTACGGGCCCACTCTGACCTCGGGGCCTCACGGTCTGAGCTTCCGTGCTCAGAATAATCTCAGGCTGATGTTTATTTACAAGCACACGCCCCGTCGCACCAGGTTAACAAAGCTCTGCTCCCCCGCCACCAACACCACCACTCGTTCTTCCTCTCTGTCTCTCCCTTTTTATTTCCCTCTCATTTTTATCTTCCTGCCTCAACACGTTCATGTTTTTGTCTTTTTACCTACTCTTRCGTGTGCCTCATTGCTTCATCTGATTGTTCTTGTTCTTCAGATTTTTTTGTCATTTCCACACCTCTCTTGTCTTCTTCATTTAATATTTCCTTGTTCCTTATAGCTTTCTAAATTGATTGACTGCCAGAGGCAACCATTGATCTTACAACAACAGAACAAATGTTTTTGTTTTATTTGTCATAGTGCAGGATAGCATGRTTGCAACAGACCTGTTAACATTTGCATAAAATCTCATGCTGGACATTATTCAGGCATGTTAACATCCCTATAGTTMATCTTTCTGTCTAAATTTAAGTATTCTTTAGTGACTGAACTATAGTGGCATAAAAAAATTGTTGCATTTTCTCAGACCTTTGGATTTAAGTACACCACGTTAAAAATATATTGAGCAAGATATAATTAAGTTAATGACGGTTTTAAAACAAAACTGAACAAGTGTGTCCCCTTTGAAAAGGTTGCCCCAGCATAACTTTGGTTTATGAAGTTTCATTGAAACAAATCACAAGACCTCTGGAACAATTTCCTTTTGACAGTAAGCTGTAAACCTATAAGAACAGAGTCAAGTCCAGACCTCAACCTCACAGAAACCAACATCTGCAAACCTCTAAACTGAAGCATTGTTGGAAGAAGAGTAGGGCAAAGTTCTCCACAACAATGTGAGAAACCTAGAAGGTCATACAGAAGATTACCACAAGCTAACAATGTTTTTTTTTTTTTGTTTTGTTTTGTTTTTTTCCCATACAATGATTCAGCATTTTGGTTTAGTGTTTTTTTTTTAATAAATAACCAATTGTAATGTCATCGTTTGCTGCTTATTAGAACTAGCATTTACTTCACATTCATACTGAAGATACATATTTGGTACTACAGCGACTGCAAAGTATAGTAATAATAGAAATAACACCTAGACGTTTATTGTGT